CTTCTTTTTTAAAAATTGCTTTTACTGAGCTGTTTTTTTTTTTTTTTTCCTGCTCCTCTCCCTGCCTCTCCCCTCCCCTCCAACCCTCTCCCATGGTCCCCAGTGCTCCCAGTTTACTCAGGAGATCTTGTCTTTTTCTACTTCCCATGTAGATTAGATCCATGTTTGTCTCTTTTGGGGTCCTCCTCATTGTCCAGGTTCTCTGGGATTGTGACCTGTGTGTATTGTCTTCTTTTGAGACGTGTCAGCTCAAGCCCCCACCGGTCCTCAACTCCTCGCCTCTCCTGCTTCACTCTGTTGTGTGCCTCTTCCAGGCACACCTCCCTCCATCCCACCCCTGATGCCGGCTGATGAATCAGGGTGGGGGCAACCATTCTTTTCTCTTTTCTGCTAGGGGTTCACACCTCCCCAGGGATGTTCACCTAGTAGGGGGCTGTTTGGGAACCGGAAGCCAGAGCCCCTGATAACTCTGAAAGTCCAGCCTCTCATACAGAAGGTAACAGTTTAGGGACTTTCCAAGTATGAAAAATTGAAAACCTTGTCACGTCTTTAGAGCTTCACACTTGGGTAGAGTCAGGAATTCCCCAGAAGGGCTTGAAGGGCCCCAGTTCTGTGCTTAGCCCTGACTCTAGTCTGGCCTTCCCAATCGATACCCGCCCAGCTCACAGGAAGTAGACTAGGCCCAGACAGAGCAAGCAAATTAAACGGTTCCCTCCTCCCTAACTGAACCAGCCCAGGGGACTGGAGCCAGGCTGCCAGCTCTCCAGTCCCTCAGCCCAGGCCAGGGACTACAGATAATAGCGCCTTCCCACTGTCAAGAGAGGCCACTCCTACCTCTGTGGCCCAGCCACCTTCTCCCCATGAAGCATACTTCCACCTCCACCCGAGTCCATAACTCCCCCGGAAACCAATTCACAATGTGGAGCTGGCTCCTGGGAACCTTTGAGTTTTTCCTTCTATAGATTCCCAGAAACTCAAGTTTCTGTTGAGCAAGACACCTTACCCGTACCACCTGCCTCCTTCCACAGTCATCTGTCTGGCAGTCTCGGGGGTCAAACGAAGGTTAATGTGTCCTGCATTGTCTTGGTTCTACACGGACTCCAACACAATACCGGCCGTAACAATGGGCTGACATTATACCTGTCCGATTATAACAATGGCTGACCTTTGGGTGGATCTAGACAAACACCAGCCGCAGAATACCAAGAGTGTTTGCAAACCTCACGTTGTCCAACCATGTGGAAATGGAACATAGTCTGCCCCTTCACATGTGCTGAGATAGTGCCTGGCCCTCTAACATCCATCAGAGACAAATGGAGGCTCTGAGGCCGAGAGAGCACCCACAGGAGCCCCAGAATTAGGGACTAGGTGCACGCTCTTCCCCATATTGTATTCTCTTTCTATCAGTGCTGGCCGTTAAACACTGATTCCCAGCCCCCACGCCCTGGCAAACCCTTTTCTGCTGTTGGTTTCACATAGATGGGTCACATATTTATCCCTTTGTCACTGGCTAGTGTCACTTGGCATAATGCCCCCAAATCCACTTGTGACATGTGTCTGAGTCTCCTGTGGCTACGACTAGATACCATCCAGAGCGTGGATTGACCGCTTTCATCTGTTTTACAGTTGGGGTGTGCCGCTATGTATGTGGGGGCAGAGGTCTCTGTTGGAGTGCCTGCCTCCAGTTTTGGGTGAAACCCCTGGTCATATATATGGTAACTACTGAACTTATTTAGGGCATCCAGGGGATGTCAACAGCTGTCATTTTTATTGGCCCCAGCCCAGAGCAGGCCTGAGCTTCTCTTTTCTCCTCAGGAAAACACTTGGTGCAGTTGGGGTGCCCTTCCCAGTAAGCAGTGTTCTGTTCTGGATTCTCTCAATGGACTCTCCTCCCAGGCTTTCTTCCCTCAGCATCGCCATCACCTCTCCCCACCACACAGTGCTCTGGGAAGTCAGGAAATGTCTTCTCTTACAGAGCCCTGTAATTGCTGTTTAGTGAGCTAATCCTACCCTTAGGGGTTCGCCTTCTACCTGAAGAAACAAGCCGATTCTCCTAAGAGGTTTCTCATTTGCCTCCAAACCACCAGCGTCCCAGGAGTCCGAGGGACAGCACTGGCTCTCAGAAATGCTACCTTCACTACCTCAAGTCTCTGGAGACCCTACAATCCCCCCAAGACCCTGACCAGTGGCGTCTCTACCTGCTTCATCCGGTGCTATGCCCTGATTGTGGGATTACTGGGACAGCAAACCACAGCTCGGAATCCAGCCTGTGCCTGCCTCCCCAGAGGGAGGGCAGGCCACCCTGGGGTTGGGGTGGAAAATAAGTACATTCTACGCTGAGCTCCAGAGGACAGTATTTGACCTAGGCCCAGTTGAGTTCTCTAGGCTGGAGTCTTAGGACCAGTGCACCAGCCTAGATGCTCCCGTGGGTTCCCTTCCTGACCGGAAGGGGGGAGCTTGACCACAGGCAGCTGCTGCCCTAGGGTTGCTATGCACAGCTTCTTGATGCTATGATGATCTGGAGACCTCATCAGTCCTTTCTTGGAGAAGTAGGGGTGGAAGTTCAGGAAGCTTTAGTGACTGGTTCAGCTAGCAGGTAGGAGGGGCACCCTTGCAACAGGGTCTGCCCCAGAAGCCCACTGTCTCCAGGCCCTGGGAAAGCCACTGCTTTGACCCAGAGGGATCTGAGTGCCACCATTCCCAGGAGGGCTGGGCTTGAGTTAGTTTCCTCTTCTATAAGACAGATAAATGTGATGCCTCTGGCCCAGGGCCGGGGAAGAGACAGGCAGGCAGCGAAGTGCAGGGAGCCAGGGGTCGGGCACAAATCTTGCCATTCATGTTATCCACAGTGACCTGTGTCCTTTAGACATGGCTAAAGACATTTAATTTTAAAAGCCTCTCAGCCATGTGAACCCAGAGAGCATGATGGGAAGTGAAATAAGCCAGTCACAGAAGAGCAAACACTGTAGGGTCCTGCTCATGGGGGCAAGGGGCAGGGTCTTCTAGAGCCATCTAGGTCATAGAGATAGGCAGTGGAATGGGGTTGCCAGGGTTGGAAGAAGGGGCTGGGATTTTTTTTTTTTTTTTAATGAGCACGTCTTTTAGTTGACAAATACGGAACAGTTCTGGCGTTGAGTGGTGGCAATGGTTGCACAGCAATGCATGTCTTTGACACTACTGGACTGTGTGCTTCAAAATGACCAAGATGATGCATTTTATGTTATATAGATTTTACATTTTTGTAACGTGTTAAAGACTTTATATGAAGTCTTAGCCCTTCACATTTAAGAAAAAAAGATTTATTTATTTATGTATTGTGCTTGTGTGTGTGAGAGAGAGAGAGAGACACAGAGAGACAGAGAGAGAGAGAGACAGAGACAGAGAGAGAGAGAGAGAAAGGAAGGGGGAAGAAAGAGAACACTGAATGCTCACTAGTGAGGTCACTAATTTTCTTCATGGAAATGGGCTGTATTTCCAAACCGAAAGGAGAAAGTGAGAACATTTGCATTCATTTGCATAACCACAGGGGCGGGGTCCTCCTGAATCTCAGGGCTCTTTTGGCTCCTAGCACCTGGACAGCTGAGTCTGAGGACAGAAAAAACATTGAAACAATAGCCACTTGCAGGCATAGGCAGCGTCAATAGCGGGATGGAATTGGGTCTCAGGTCAAGTAGAAACAGCTGGTGGCCTGTCTGAGTGAGCAAGCTTTGTTAATAGGGCAGGGCTGCCCAGGAAGCCCGGTGAGATCACAGCTACATTCCTTCCCTGCCAAGTCACAACTGTGAAGCTGAGGGACACCTTAAAGCCCTCGGAGTTCCTGTATCCTCACTTGCAAAATACAGACCTTCACGGCAGGTGCCTGCGGTACCGCAGGGTCTGGTGTGGAGATGGATTTTGCAAAGTGCTGCTAAGAGGAGTTCTGAGTACATCCCTTTCCTAATAGAAAATAGAGATGCTGAAAAACCATCAGAAACCCGCTACAGGGTCCCCGAGCTTGGATCAGCCCTGCATAGGCTCCACTCTACCTAAGAGGCGAACGGAGTTGTCAGTCTCGTGGGTACCCACAGTCCGTGCCCCTACCCCAGCTTCAGGGCCTTTTGACAGTTGACTTTAACTTCCCCATCTGTGACCTGTAGCATAGTAAGAACTTTACTCCTCAGGCTATGATGGTGATTTAGTGTGATAGTAAATATCAGCTTTTTTTTTTTTTGATTGGCTCTTAGGAACGTTTATTAAGATATATATCAACAAGTACATTGTAATATGTCTGATGAAAGAAAAATAGCAGGTTGCAGAGTGAGGGAGAGTCACATGACCACTGGTAGGGCGCTACATCCCAGTATATATATGGTCCACACCCCTGAGCATATGGACAGAACTAACTGGACTCAGAGTTACTAATTACACTTTTTTTAAAAAAATAAATAAATAAAAGGAGGAAATGAATTTGAAAGGGTTGGGAAGGCACTCAGGAAAATTAGAAGACGATAGTAGTAGTAGGTGGATATGATGAAAATACATTGTAAAGTGTCTGAATTTCATGTTGTGCCAGCCCACACTCGGGACCTAATGGGGGCTGTCCCAGTAAAAAGCCCTCATTGTCCTGCCCACCTCATCCCTTCTTCCCATGTGGAAGCTATGCTGCCGAATTTGGTGTCTGTTACTCTTTGCAGTCTCGCTTCACCTGAGCATCCTCTTGAACACCTAAGGATGGGAATGAGCTACAGGTGACTGTAAGCTAGGACGGGCCTGTAGAAAGACATAGACGTAATTGCTAGCCTGGCACAAAGCTTCATTGGGCCGTGACACCTTCCCATGCCACCACAGTGTCCTTTCACCTCTCTGACCTAGGAACTGTGCCTGTTGGCAGACAGACCTGTCAGTGATCCAGGGCATCAGTTGGGATTCCTATTAACGAGTGTCCTCAGTGTCCTCAGCAGAGCCCACGGAGCTGCAGGCCCCATGCCCCTGCTGACCCATGTCTGGCCTTGCCCCTCCAGGCAGAGATGCGGCTCCAGGACCAGCAGCTGGCCAGGCAGCTCATGCGCCTCCGTGGAGACATCAACAAGCTGAAGATTGAGCAGACCTGCCGCCTGCACAGGAGGATGCTCAACGACGCTGCCTACGAGCTGGAGGAGCGCGATGAGCTGTCCGACCTCTTTTGCGACTCCCCTCTGGCATCCTCCTTCAGCCTTTCCACACCGCTCAAGCTCATTGGCGTCACCAAAATGAACATCAACTCCAGAAGGTTCTCTCTCTGCTGAGAAGCCTTGGGATGGAAGGGGGGGACCAGAGCCAAGGGCTGGGGGCGGGGGCTCAGACCAAGTAACTCGAAGTGGGTCTCCCTGTGGCCATGCTGGGGAATGGAAGGCCCCCGGGGCTTCAGCCTTGCATACCTGGGTCTTCACATTCAATCCCCGAAGAGTCTACAGACACTATGTAAGACAGGGGTCTCAGAGAGATCCCTGTGGCCTGCTCCCCTCTGTGGCCTAAAATCATTGGTGCTATGATATTGAATCCCAAAGGGGTCACCCCCCACCACACACACACAAAGCTTGTTCTTACAGAAAGCTCTCCTCTGAGGAAGCGGGGAAGATTAAATGTATAAGGCACTCTCATCTCTCATGTACTGGTACCACCCTCCCAGTCCTAGCTCTAATTGCTCCTAAGTAGGTGACTCAGCAGCCTGGACAGGGATGCGTTAGGACAAGAAAACCTAGAGGAATATCGAGGTGGCACGTGGGAATGCAGGCTTCTCTTTGATGGCTGCCAGCATCCCTGGGAGGGAGCTCCGCCCTGTGACTTTGAACTATAGCCTTAATGCTACAAGGCCATGCTGTTTCCAGCTTGCTCCATGACACATGATGCATGTACCTTGGATACCTTCAGTAGGGGGACCCAGACACCCTGCTCTCCACGCTAGCTCCAGTTACAACCACTTCAGTTATTTCTCTGCCACTCACAACCCCAGGGGAGCACCTAGCAGTCCACTGGTGACTAAACCAGGCAGATAGGAAACAGATTTCCCCCAAGTAAATTCTACCGTAGGGGGCATGACAAGAGGCCTTCCTGGTGGGACCTGATGGTGTCACCCACAATACCTTATCCTCAGCACCAAAGACCCCAGGGAGTCCAGAAGCCCGCCCCTAGCCTCTCTTCAAGACTGTGCCTGACCTAAACAATGAATTTTAATTGACCATGACTGTTAACTAATGTGTTGCTAACTCGTTAATACCTGTCTGATTCTTGTCCAAATTGTAAGCCAGTTGAGTAAGCCAAGCAGAGTTTGGGGGTTAGTTTTGAGAGTTTTTTTTTTCCCCCTAGGAGAAACCTGGAGATCAGCAAAATGTTAAGTTGATCGGTTCAGGGAACCTGATACAGCACATCTGGCCACATGTAATCCTGTTGACACACGTTTCTCAGATATTGGGTGTGTCTAGTGAGGCCGGCTCATTAGCAGAGGGGCCAAAGAAAAGCCAGGAATGAGAACAGCTTCTCTCAAGTCACCTGGTTGCTTAGTGGCTGTAGAATACTAAAGTGTGAAATTACTGTGAGTCAGGCCTAGACGGATCTCCTGTCAATGAACTTAAACTTCCAAGAGATGGTCCTGATGTTCTGCCAAACCCATAAGTTGCCAGCGTCTCTCTCCCTCCCTTTCAGGCCCCACCCATTCTCCCCACTTTGCAATCTGAAGTCTTGCGGGGACGGGGGAGAAGCATGATGCCAGGATGGTGGACCTTCGACGCTTCCCATCAGTCATAGTCCTGTAGTCTACACTGACTGCTCTCTGTATATAATGTTTGTTCTCCCTGGGATCCCAATTGGCTGTGTCCACACACACCACAACACACCCAGGGAGAGGCTGAAATGGGAAGTTATAACTGAATGGTCACGGATGACTGAATCTTGTGATTTCAGAGCCAGGCAGTTTGTGTTTCTTTTTTTAAAAGGTAGAATAAGATAGCCAAGATTTTTTCTTAAGATCCCTGAAGTCCATAGGCCTTGACCCCAATCCCTTCCTTAGAGACCACATAAAACACTGCCAAGTCCCAAGAGGCCTCAGCACCTCTCATGACCTCCTGACTCCAGTCTCCTGCTGGCTGTCCCTCACACACCACGTCACAGAGAACACGTGAAAGAAGGCTCATCCCATATTCTAGAAACAAGGCCAACCTGGTAAGAAATTAATCATTAGTCAAGCTACCACACCTTTAATCCCAGCACTCAGGAGGGGGGGGGGAGGAAAAGGAGTTCAAGGCTAACCTATGATACTTAGTCAGTTCTCCAGGCCAGCCTGGGCTACCTGAGACCACGTCTCAAAAACACTGTATCAGTCATTACAGAAACTGACACCCTCAGCTTAAAGCAATGGAATTGGATGTGGTCAGCAACTAAATACGTGATTGAGCAGCTTGTGCTCAGCTAACCCAGCATCTTCCTCCTCCTTTTGTTCTCTGAGGAAACTTTGTCCCAGGCATGGATTTGAATAGGTTAGATGTCTCAGCTCAAGTTGTTCATCTCAAGTTCATCCCAAGAGAATCTCATCCTGGGAAGAAGACAGAAAGTGGGCGGGGGGGGGGGGTCACAAAAGTGGAGGGGAAAGTCATTCTATTTTTTTACGTGCAGTTATTATCTGTTAGTTCCCTGCCTTTCATGGTGAGCACAAGCCATTAACTGTTCATTCTGCTTGTAGAATTCACGCAACATTAACAGCCTTCCACAGCCAGTTTCCTGGCTTACCGTATGTACACAGTCCAGTTTGCTGTTTCATCATTAACCATCTCCACGCCCCCCAAGTCTCTCCACCCCCCTGTGAGACACGAAATATCCACTGTGCTGCCACAAGGTCATGCCCATTGCCTCCATGGACTCAGTAGCAATCACAGAGCCCTAAGGGGCCTGGGTAGGCCTGGCTGTAACCTGGCCTCATCCAAGATCTACCCCTGTAGCAATACCAAGTGCTATTACATAGTCAATGGACAATTTACAATTTTATTTTTATGATTATTTGTTTCTATATTACTGTTAGAAAAGAGTGAAATAAAAATACTTCAAAAGAAGATATCCAGATAGAGACATTTCCTTTTTTTTTTTTTTTTGAGACATTTCCTTTTTCTTGTCATGATTACAGCATACGTAAGACCAGGACCATAATTGGGTGAAGGATGGATGGATGGATGGATGGATGGATGGATGGATGATTTGAACAATTAGTTGAAGATGTAGGAGGGAGAAAAAGATTCTCCAGGACCTTCTTCCAAGAAGGGCTACTTGGAGGTGGTTACCATGGAGTTCCATCCTGTAGGCTGTGTGAGCACACCTCATGTAGCCATCCTGCCTGCATTTGACCAAAGCCAAAAGAGAAGCCATCTTTTCCCTCCTATTGTGGTCTTTCCGAGCTGATTCTACTAGGTGATATTATCACTGTGTTCTGGGGGAGGCTGGAACTTCAGAATGCTTCAGCCCCTCACCCTTAACCCTGCAATCGGTGTACAAGAGCGCTGTGGAGATGCCCCTGAAAACACGCTCAGGAGACACAGATTCTGGCTACGCAGTTCCAGAGCTGAGAATCTGCTCTTCCTCGTGCCCCGGAAGACCGAGGGCGCCAGGGTCTTGAAACAGTCCCGTCTTCATAACCTCAGAAAGGCCATATCAGAGGCCAAGGTGGGTCAAGAATTCCTTCCTGTGGAACACCTCTCAACAGCTCCAGAAGACTGAGCAGCTGTGGCTAGGTTCTCTCAGGAAGCACACACAGCGTGAAGCCCAGCAGTTCTCAGCCTTCCTAATGCTGCAACCCTTTAATACAGTTCCTCATGTTGTGGTGAACCCCAACCATAAAATTATTATCGTTGCTGCTTCGTAACTGTAACTTTGCTACTGTTATGAATCGTCAAGTTAGTATCTTGTTTTCTAGTAGTCTTTGGTAATCCTTGTGGAAGGATCATTTGCCCTGCCCCCAGGGGTCAGGACCCACAGGTTGAGAACTGATAAGGCTATGAGGAAGTACAGGGCACTCAGACATCCACCGCCGAAGTTGAGCATGTTGGTGCGTGCTTTTAATCCCAGAGTCCCAGAGTCCGAGAGGCAGAGTCAGGTGTATCTCTGTGAGCTGGAGGCCAATGGGGTGAATTTAATTTATTTAGTGAATTCAAGATCAGTCAGTGCTATACCGTGAGACCCTGCCAAAAAAAAAAAAAAAAAAACAAACAAAAAACAAAACAAAACAAAAAAATCAGAAAATCTACCACCACAATGATCATGCCACTCAAAGGACACATAGAAGCTACACACTCTTTCACCCCAATGCCCAGGATGCATGGCCATTTCAACACAAAGCTAATATGTGCTTTAAGTAAACCAGTAAATTAAATGTAAGGGCAGAAGGCGACAGGAAAAGAGCGGTCCAACAATCACCTTCATGTTGGAACCTGGTCGCTACTCAATTCCCATAGCTGGATGCCTCTGCTGAACCCATTAGACACAAAGTCTGGAAGCTCCTTGGATATCTGCTGACATTGAGTCCCCAGTCCCAAAAGAGGCTGATGTGGGTGGCAGTTGGCAACAGCTTCACAGCCTGGGTGTGAGGGCCACAGAGGAGACACAAGGTGGGAGCAGGGAGATTGCTTAGTTGGTAAGGTGCTGGTTGTGTAAGCTTGAGGACCTGAGTTTATAGCCCAGAACCCACCTAAGACGCAGGGCTAGGTCGAGACATAAGGATCTCTAGGCTTTGCTGGCTAGTCTACTGAACTGATAAAGTTCAGTGAGGGACCCTGCCTCAATAAATAAGTAGGAAAGAGACTGAGAAAGACAGCAATGGGTGACCTTCACATGTTCACATATGTGCAACACACATACATACATACACACACACACACAAAATGAGCCAGTGTGCACTGTATGGAGAGACAGCTCTAACTAGTAAAATCTCCACTTGTACAATTCTCAGAGAAGTTGGTGTTACAGCTGAGTCATGGCCATGAACAGACCAGGGCAAAAGATTAGAGACAGAGAGGCAAGGACACAGATGGAAGGAAAGAAGTGTTCTCTGAGAGGGATGGGGAAGTGAGGTCAGAATGCCTAGTGGCTGCGGGAGTGAGGGGCAGCTCTCACCAGCCTCTGGGACCTCAGGAGTTCAAGCTTTCTTTGGGTAGTACAGGAAGTATCTTGAGGTTTTTGAGTGGTAGACGATCCGAGGTTAAACCTTATCAGAATCTAAGAAGAAGGCACTTAACTGGTGGTATGCAGAAAGCAGAGCTGAGGGGATGGGAAATGGCTTAGTCAGCAAAGTGCCTGCTTTGCAAGCATGGGGGCCTGAGTCTGACTTCCCAGAACCCGGCTAAAACAGGCAGGCATGGTAGTCTGTGCCTGTAACTCCAGCCCTGGGGAAGCAGAGACAGGCAGACCCCCGGGGCTCACGGGCTATCCAGCCCAGCTAATTGGCACGGTCTAGGTCCCAGGGAGAGATCCTGTCTCAAAAAACAAGGTGGGTGGCACCTGAGTAACAACATCTCAGGGGACTATGCATAGCCCCCCAACATGCATACACGCATGCACACCTGCACACATGTGCATGCACACACAAGAACGTAGAAGCGGGGTGGCACAGAAGAGAATTAGGGGGTGATGATCCAGATAGGGCAGTAGCTGTGGAAGGTTGGGCATAATCTCTGATGTGTATTTTGGGGAGCAAGCCCACTGAACTACACAGGGCGGTGGTGGAACAGAGGTGTTCACAGGTGCTAGCCAGACTACAGAACATGAACGTGAGCTCTCAGAAGTGTTGTGGCCAATTGTTCAACAGAAGCCCAGGTGCCGCTTCATCAGGCTGGGCCGACCACCTAAGTGTGCTCTGGGAGAGTTTGTTGCCAGCCCAACCTGCAGCCTCCACATTCCAGACCCAGAGCCTCCCTGGGTGTCTGGATTCCGGGAAATGTTGATCGACTCCACACCTTTCCTCCTCCTATGTGACTACAGAGCATTCCCCTCTTGTTCATTCTCCGTATTAGAACCCGGTTGTCTGTGGTTGTGCAGGCTTGGGGGAAGATGGAGCTGCGCTACCCTGAGGAAAATGGCCATGCTGACAGGCCTGGTCCCCAGGTCCTATCTGACGGGTGCTGCTCAGATAGAAGGCGGCAGATGTGGCTATTATTTAATTGCCCTGTTCCTAGGCACAGGACAAATGGCCACAGAGCCTCGCCTACAGGAAGATACAGAGGAAGGGAAGCCTCAGAGGGGTATAAAGGCACTGGAAGTGGTCGCCCCACTTGCCACAAGGAAGTGTGCCCTGCACATGTGATTTCTATCAGTTAGGATGGTAGCAAGACTCCAGGGGCTCCGCATCTCAAGAGACGTGCCTACGCCATGTTAAATAGACAGTCCCACACTGCCTGCTACATCCCCACTTCTTACAGGGATGAAGAGGTAGTCGGAAAGGGACACTCGCCAAGGAGGTGATGAATATTTAGAGAAAATGAGCAGGAATGTGAGGCCAGGCCTCTGCTCCCTCCAGCTGGACCCCAGCTAGGCCTGAGAGTGCCTCACAAAGTCACCCCCTCGCCAAGCCTACACCCCCAAGCCTTGCTGGAAAGGGTCACTAGGGGCTAGTGGTGGGATACATACCTCTCTACCTGCCCAACTGGATGGATCAATCCCTTGGTTGGGAAAATGGGAGCTACTCCAAGACTTCTGGGAAGGGAAAAGGCAGGGGAGTCAAGGAAGGCCACCAGAGGAAGTGATCCCCAGAGCTCTCCTCACTGGGGTGTGGCCTCGCAGGGACAGCAGGTGATAGTAGGCTTTTCTGGTGGGTGGGGACCATTAGCTTGGGGGTCCCCTACTGGGTAGTGGGGTTCCCTGAGTTCCCTGGGAGTTATTGCTATCTGTCCTGGGCCTGGTGTGGCCACTGGGACACAGCCAGTTATACCTGGTGTCACAAACTGGACTTCAGTCTCCCAAGTTCAGATGCTGAAGCACTGAGAGGACCTCAGAATAGATGTATCTGGAAAGAAGGCCTTCATGGGGATAATAGATTAGAATAAAGTCAGAGTGTGGGTGTCTTTATTTCTAAAAAGGTGATTTGGACACAGACACACGGAGGGAGGTCAGGTGAGGACACAGGGATAAGATGGCCTTGGCAAGCCCCAGAGGGAGGCCCCGGGAGGGCCAGCCTTGCTCACTCTTGGACTTCCGGCTTTCAGAGTCTTGACAACAGCAGTTGCCATGGGAGCCGCCTGCTCTGGGGTATTTGCGCTAACAGCTGTAGTGGATAGCTGTGACTCTCAGTCTGACACAACCTGGACTCACCTGAGAGCCTCAGCTGAGAAACTGTTTTTGTCTGGTTGGTCCGTGGCCATGTCTGTAGGAGTGTCTTCATTGTTAATTGATGTCACCCGGCTCACTGTGAGAGTTACTATTTCAGCTCTAGGCATGCGGGCAGTGGAAAGTTAACAGGGTAAGCAGACAACAAGGGCACAATCTCCTCTCTCTGCTCTTGACCGTGACATGAGGTGGTCAGTTGCTCGAGCTCCTCCCTTGACGTCCACGAGATGATAGACTGTGACCTGGAATCATATGAACCTTTCCTCCTCTGAGTTGCTTGCTTCCAGGGTGTTTCATCAGAGCAACAGAAAGAACCCAGAATAGCAGACCACCCAAAGCAGGACATCCGCTTCTCCTGCCTGGCCTCGCCCCCTCCCTCCCACCCCTGACTGTCCGTGGGGAGGTAAGCTGTGCCACTTCTCGGGCCAAACATGACCTCAGAGGGGGCGAAGTACATAGGTAACCAAGCCACAGTCGTGAACATCCAAGTGGTTACAGATGGGCCCTCAGTCTGGGAGCAGACCAGAATCTTCCATCAGCTGTGGCCACAAAGGCTCTTCAGTGAGAGGACTTGACATATGCTATGTCAGTCCCTGGCAGGCGGCAGGGCAATGTGGCTGAGTGTGGGAAGAAAAGACTGCAACTCCAGCTAGTGTTGTTAACGTCTTCCGCGAGATTTCAATGTGGATGACATCGGTGTGGCAGATACATGAATCGGGAGGGACACACCAACCTTTTAGTTGAAAGAC